CATGTAAGGATGTATATACACACCCACAAATATTCGTTCATGAATGTCTGTGTGCAAATTTATTTGAGGTTATACACTATATACAAATGTGGATGCACAAAAAATACCCGGCATGGGCATACTTATCCTGGATTTATTTTTGGCTTTTTGAGCTTAAGTTTAAATGAGTTCCAGCATAAAGTAGCTAAAAAGCCATATGAAGACCACAATTTTCAAGGTGAAATAGTAGTGAATCTCCAGTACAGTGCAGTGAATCTACCAAAAATGCTAAGCAGAGCAAATCCAATAGCTACCTAAGAGGAAATGCAGAAATACCTAGGAATTAGCATCTTTGAAAGAGAAAGATAGCCCATCACAAGTGTCTCCCATTCCACCTGACCCCAGAAAACTGGTTTACATTTCCATGCAATAGCCTGCAAGACAAGGGGAGAGTTGGGACACGCTCTCATCTCAACACCCAACTAAGTAATCTATGGTACACTGCTGTTGAAGCAGCAGCTTCGCCAGTAGATGCTCAAAGCTCGTCAAAACAGGAATGAAAAGGGATGGATTTTATAACTTTGAGAGATCTTTGCAAATAATATGACCAACAAGAATGGCTCTGCCAAACCCCAGTGCAAATGTGTTGAGCTGGTCATCTCATCTTACTCAACACCAAATGCAACAAACCTCAGCAAATGATTAGAAGACAATGAGGTCATATTTTTGCRGAGACATCAGCCCCAAGGTTAGACATTCTCCTCTTCATCAGGTAACCAAGTCACATTGCAATTGGACTGTCTTCAAAGGCTCAAAAAGGGAAGGGTGGCCCCAAAATAGCTGCTGTGTCTGAGACCAGGCCGCAGCCACTCCTCCATCACCTGTGCCGAGCTTTACTCAATTTAAGAATGCTGAACCATTCTGAAATTAATGACCTTGGAAATTAATGATCTTGGAAAATAACCTATCTCCCTGCCCTTTCACACCTTTCTCAAGCAACACCTTTTCCATGACACTCTCTCAAGTGCAATACTTCAAGTGTCCAGAAAGAGGATCTTCCCAAAAGAAGCTCTGCTTAGCCCACGGCCTCCCTCCTCTGCGCAAGAGCCAAATGAACCTCGCAATCTGGGAGCAGAGGAAGTGATAAAGCAGCATATTTGCTTTATTCGTCCTTGTTTGAACAGTAGGGAGGCTTGGCCACTTCTCCCTTCCCGGCTGCCTGCCCTCCCAAGTTTCCAAGAAGAAAAGCAACCTGGAGATTTGATTTAACTATTTTTGCCTCTGGCAATTGGTTTGACTTTTCTTCCAAAAATATAGATGAACAAACTTCTCTCATGACAGCAGCCCCCACTGGACTGTCAGTCAGTGTTAATTACTATAGCACTCTGGAAGACACTAGTTCTGCTCTGATTTGTGGCTCCAATGGACATAGCCAACCCTCATTAGCACACGAGAAAGCCCACTGATATTTCGAATAACATTCATATTTTTTACTCTGTTTTTTTTCAAGTGGAAAACAGACAAGGAGCGGTGAGAAAGGAGAGAGACCAAACTATACGGCTAACCTGGGTAGAGATGGAGGCTTTTGATTTTGCACTGATGCCAACTGGATTTTTTCCTGCTGCCTCCCAGGGTTTACTTCCTCCCCTCCTCAAAACCACGCTGGTCTAGTTTAGGATTGAAGAGGAAAAAGGATGCTTCCCCTCTTGCACCCACCTTGGATGGTTTTCTCTCAGAGAAATTGCTCAGAGAAAAACCCTAAACCCATGGACACCCCAGCAGGAAAGTCAGAGAAAACATCTGCCTGATCCTCATTTTTTATGGCAGTGGTRATAAAGTCCAGGCCTCACAAGGAGTTTTGCAACCAACTTCTTTACAGACATAATATCATCCGCCCAATGAAAAGTACCTTCAGGTGAATATGAACATAAGCTACATCTTCCTTACTGTGCTCGCAAGAGGAAAAGGGGTCAGTCTTGCTCCTGAGAACCCAATCCCAAAATGTGATTTTTCTCCTACTTGTGTGTGTTGGGTTTTGTTTGTTTGTTTTGTTTTTTATTTTTTGTCTTCTAATTGTATAAAACCCATTTCATGACACAATAAACTACCAGGAGGACAAAGTCAACTGAACAGCAATAATCATACATAAAACCTATGGCATTAACGTTTAGCTGTTGGTGCTCAGTGAGGCTCATTAAATGGAAGAGAGAGTTTTGGTTCACATTAAATAACCTTTGGTTCTGTGCTTAGAAGAAATGCAGTTGGGCTCTTTCCTCAATAAGATGTCCTTACTTAGTTTTTCTATTACTGTTATCAGAGGGGATCAAAACAGACAGATGCATTTACTGTTTTCCATCAAAAGATAATAAAGAGAAACAGTTTATAAAATCAGATTATATGAAAAATAGCCTAATGATTATAATTTCCAAACCCATTGCTGAATAATGATGTATTCAAGAGTTGTCATCGAATGATGAAAGAAACCTAATATGAAAGATTTTCTCTATGAAGAATGACTACAGATGAATTGCAAAGAGATACAATCCTCTGATAAAGAACAATAAGAGCCTCTAGAACACTTAATAATAGACTACTCAGGATGAATTGAGTATTGCAATAAAAGCCCATAAATTAAAAAGTTTCAAAATGATTTCTGATAAAAGACATGCCAAGGTGAAATAAAAAAAATCCTTGAAATCAACAGATATACTGTCTGCAGCACATTAGGTAATAGAAAATACACTCTATAAACTCAAAATAATTGATTTAAAAAAGAATACTATCGTATCCTACGCACTGAAAGCTTTTGCCTGGACAATCTTTTATGTAAGTCAAATTACAGTATTGACTTACGTGCGCTGAATATGCAGAAAGGTTTGGTCTTTCATGGGGAGCAGAAGTAGATGAATTTCTACCTACAGTTACTCTGCTACAAAGACCCTGGTGCTTGAGCTGACAGCAAGCTCTAAGCTTAGCCAGTCATTCAGGAGTTAAAAAAAAACAGGACTCGGGAGCATTCTGGGACTGGATAGACCAACATGGCTAAGACTACAACATAGCTAAAGACCTGCCTAAAGACACTTACGGAAGAGGAGAATGAAAATACATCTTCATCCATAGGATGGGTTCTTCTGGAGCTCACAGTTAGCCCTGAAAAGGCAGCCCTTGAAAGGGCCTTCAGCAAAGTCATTTCTGCCATTACCTCCTGCCAGACATAGAGACGCTCACTGCCAGTCTGCTCTTTGGATCGGCCGGGCATTCAACACTAAGGTGATGAGTGTGTGGGTACTTCCTCACAATGTTCCGGCTATCCTTTCAGGGTTTCTGAAGGGCCTGGGTGAAATGCATCAAGCCTGGACTTCAGGAAAGGTGTCTTTATTTTGCCCACTCCAGCAAAAGGCACTGTTTCCACCTTGAGTGGTGGTAGACTCTGTTGGCTGCACTGGGAGAGGAGAGCRTGGCTATGGTAGAGGAGACAGGGCTGCAAATCTGGCTTGATGGATGCAGCTCCCTGCAGCCCAGAGCTGATTCCATACGTAAAGAAAATCCGAACTGGGAGTTAAAAATTTGCYTTTACTTCAGCATTTCCTACTAGTCCAGTACGTTCCCATCACAAGACACGTAGACTACCCAAGCACAGCAAGACAGAGCTGCGCCTGGGTTTATTTCCCATGTTCAGCCTCTGGTTCTAACCACAGCTCCAATCTTGGATGCAGTGGGACTGCCATGAGGAATGTTAAAAAAATATACACTTTTAAAATGTTAAAACTTGTCTGAAATGCAGATGGATGTACTTAAAATAGCCATGTTTGCTCACTGCTGCACAGAGAGCTGAGATGATTTATAATAAACTATGCCAGCATATATTATTCATGTTGGAGGCAAGGAAAGGTCTTTGATATGTATCTAAAAAAAAGCTTCAAATCCATAAAAGAGATAAATTTGTATGAATAGTGTCACCAGGAGTACAGATGAGAAACTCTCAGACACATCTTCATATCACATGATGTATTGTAGGACCACTATGCTTATACAATCTGTGCATTAATTTCACTTAAAAGAGAAATTAATTACTGTATCTCTATACAGCATGAGCTAACCCAAGCCTGGGCTGCTCAGGCATGTTGTTAACCTTTCCTTTTCCTTTATTCTGGGACTCTTCCCTATTTACACACTTTTCTACCACCTTCAAGTTAACTGTTTAACTGTTAACTGTTTAACTGTTAACTGAAGTAAAGGTGAGAGGGGCCTGCTTTGTCACACTGTTAGTTGGGATTCAGCACTTGCTTTTCCTTCCACGGGCAGCTAAGATTATATGCACTGCATGCAAACACAGACGTCCAAGAAAATGGATTTGTCTCATGCCCAGCGCCTCCAGGCACCCCCCCTTTTCTGTTGCTTATAAATTCATGACAATATTTGACAGCAATGTTTGGACATGGACAGATGTCCTCTCACAGGGCTGGTGGAAGAGATTACTGCCTGAACAGGTGCAACTCATGGCTTCCCAAGACCTACTGGCGAAGATGTTCGTCTGGATGCTCCCCTTCAGGCAAAAATAGTGCAAGCCTCTCTTTGACATTGCTGAAGCCAAACCAGAAACTACCTGATGCAGCTTGCATGMGCACAGGGGCTCACTCACCACAGCTGCCACCTCCAGGTCTGGCCAACATGCTGCTGCTGGGATCCTCAGGCCCATGGGAAGAAGATCCAAGGTCATGGACCGAGAGACCCATTGGTGGTTCTCTGTTGTCATCAAGTGAGCAATGCTGATTCATTCCAGGCAGAGCTCTGGCCCCATAATGTTTAGCAACAAGATGACTTTAGGCAAAACAAACTCACCAATTACTAATTAACCTAAGAGGTCCCAAATTCCATGTCATTTAATTGGTGGCTGAGGGAAAGGCAGGATTTGTCAAGGACCTCCTCACTCCAGACTGAATTGTTATGGCCCCCCTGTAGGTCTCCTGCCAGCACTAGGATTAGACTGTGACTAATTATGGCTTTATTTCCTTTAATAAAGAAACATCCAAGTGTTCAGTACAATTGCATTAGAAAACAATAATCATAAAGTCTCACACTAAACATCTGCAATTAGAGCATTGACTATTAATTGTGCTAATTAACCTCATACACAGCCCAGCTGGTAAAGCAGACATGTTAAAAAGCATCTCTTTTCAGTAATTATCTAGGCCAAATTGGGCACAGCTTAGCGGTGGTGGAGCTGCTTGACAAATCACCAAGATCTTGCCTGCAYCTGGCCTCAGACGTGGCCAGGTATCACAGAACAATGGTATCACAGGACAATGCTCCCTGAAGGACTGTGGTCCTACAGACCAGCTTTTGGAGGATCACCTCAGGGGACAGAGTGACAGAACTATCCTTCTCAGATTACATCATTAGATAATAAGGACTGAGGGAGAYAGCTAAGTGAGGTAGATTTTGATATTTATTATGGCCGAGTTATTTGATGCTGTGCATTTCTACAGGCCTCTGTTCCAAAACTCTTTGCTTTAGTTTGGTCTAATATTCTTAATCCACATCTTTCTTTGAGGAGAAACACGTGCAATGCATTCCTCTAAAAATAGCTSTTCCCTCCTCTGCAACACTCCTTGGCTTTTTCTTCTTCCTCACTCTCCAAAGAGCCTGCAAGTTGAGGTTCACACCAAGGCTGACCTGAATAGATCCTCGGCATGAGCTGTGAGTCCACAGTATAAGAATCCTCTCCTAGTGGAAAGATCTCAGCCTAGAAGAGTAAAAATACATGTCCTGGAAATAAAAATAAATAAATAAATAAATAATTTTTAAAAAAAAAAAGATAAAAATGCTCTTGGGAGGACTTTTCTAAGAATAGGCATCAGCTTCCAGATCACCTTTTGACATCACACACTAAAACCTATCTTGCAAATTGGGTTTGTAGGGGCTCCCATACCTGACAGTGTTGTTTAGAAACGACCATCCAGCACCAGAGTCAGCTTAAGGCTTGTTCTTCTTCCTTGCAGGTCAACAAGACCTGTGTACCTGACCTAACTTTATGTTTAACCTTACACCTGAACATGAAACTAGCTCTCAAAACCTCTCACAAAGTCAAAGACTAAGGGAAATATAACTGCCCTGGGAATCTTTCTGATACTTTGCATATATGCTTTTCTGTCCTCTTCTATTGTCCTCCATTTTTTGAACAGGAACAATATTGGCTGTTGCAAGTTTTAATCCTGTTTTTTGTTTTTCTTACTCTGCTGCCACTGCTGCAGCTGGTGACACACTTGCATCAAGGGCAGGACGTGCCTGGACTTGGTTGGTAGAGATAACCTGCAGTGTTGTGCCTGGAAAACAGTACAGTGGGGAATAACCACTTGTCTATGTCTGATTAAAAGCAATTATTTATGGAGACAAACTCTGGCCTACAGTACTGGGAAATGGACTGGAGTCCTTACAGAAACCAAGCACCAAGGGAGAAGAACCAGGCCAMGCTATTTTGTTCCAGCACACATATCCACTTAAAAAGGCACCAGAATTATCAGAGACAGGTTTACAGCTTGTGGCATCTTCCCATCTCCACTCTCTCTACAGTCGGTATGGAGAGATACGTCAATGGGGCTATACAAGTAGCCTGTGCATTTGGCATCTCATTTTGGATAAAACAATTGCTATATCAGCCCAGAATAAGTGTATATCTAGTCACTGAGGAAGAACATATCAGGAGAGTCTTTACAGAGCACTGGTCCCTCAGCATCTGCTTTTCAATTTCTCCTCCCCATGCCTTGCTTGTGAAGGATGGGGTACAGATGGCTATTTTGCTTTCCTGACAGGCATCCAATCAGGCCATACACTCTCCAGACTTGGGCTGGGCTCATGCTCGCCAGCACATGGAGTCCCTCTATTGCCTGGGATGCTGAGCACAGCACCAAAGAGATGAGCTCTTAGCAAAGCCATCAGAGAGCATCCAATTTCACTTCCAGAGGATGCATCTACTAGGTTCTTGTGCAGTTATTGCTCTGTCTCTCTCAGACTATTACTRTTTTTAACTTAATGAAAATCCTTTATCCCTCCTTCCAGCGTTCCACCTCTCCACCTATTCCCAGGGTATTCCAAACAATTCAGARAACAGCAAAAGAAAATCCAGGAGATTAAAACCCCAAGCATTTCTATTAATAAAATAGTCATTGTGTTTCGCATGAAAGTAAAACCCTGTTTTACTGGGCGACAAGGGTCTGGGTTAGACAAGAAGGAAGTGTTTGCTAATATTTTCTCCCTGGCTCCAGAAGAATACGTTACTGTCATGTCACCTCTCTGCTGCTTACAAGCCAAGCAGTAGACAGACAATAGCAAAATACAGAGCAAACAGAGAGGCGACAACACATTTGCACCCTGGATTCTGCTTTTTCATGTGCCACTGTCCTTAATTCAGCTTGTAACATGCAGATTTGCTCCCACAAAACAACCCTTTTGCACAATTCCTCCAAATCAAGAGGTACCTTTAGGAATGAATTATCCCCTCCAGCAGGGATTTCTAAGACATTCCCCCTATAGCCATTTCTCAGAGAGCTTCTGACTCTCTTAATTTTGTTTTCTTAACTGTAATATTCATACTTTCCCATCTGTGCCTTATTTTTTAGTCTTTCTTTTCTCCTCCTCCTCTTTTTTTTTTTTTTGACAGCAAATGTAATGCTTTTTTTCCCACCCTTTCTTTGGCCGTGGTCTGTGTGAAGAAAAAATAAACATCCACAGCATCTGAAGTGGCTGCACAGTGGATAAAATCCTGGCTCCCTCGAAACGGGTAGTAAAACACCCATTCATTCCGCCGTACTGCAACTCTCACCCCGTGACTTCAGTGGGACAAACTCACAGGGCACAAAGTTGTTTGTTGTCCCCTAAATGGTCTCATTGTCCATTGTCAAGGCTCTTTCCTGAGCGCTAAATCTCCCCGCTCCYAGCATCGCTCTCGGCCTGTGAGAGGGGGCTCTGAGAGGAAGGACCGTCTTCACAGGCTCCTGGCATCGCTTAGAGCTGAAGGATATTTATCTATCTCTCTAAATATATTTTCTATCCTGCCTGTAAGAGCCATATAAAATTCTCTCTCCTTTTGAGATAGTTTCTTATTGCAGAAATAACATCCAATTTCAGTTTTTTTCTACCAAGGAGGAAAGGGAGGGGATTCTGGCAGTAAAGTCGATGACTTTCTACCTGCACTGCCACCCTGCAACCCTGATGTTTGCCTCCAAATTTTGCATGTCGTATCTGCAGAGAGCGGTGACTTTGCAGGCACCCAGTGTACTTGCAGCAAGCCTGGCAAAGGATGCTGCATTTTACATGCATTTGATTTACTACTTTTCCTCGCTTAATAGAGACTTAACTTACTTAACAGGARATGAAAGCATCTCTGGGGACTTCAGGGAGGCTTTTGCTGGCTGACCCCAAGATGGAGGCAGACACCAGCTCCAGGGTACCGCATCCATGTGCCTGATGGAGGGGAATGAGAGCACTTCCCAAAAAATCAGCTCAGCTGCAGGCATGGTTCTTCTCCACAGCCTCCTGCCTGCTGAGGTCATCAGGCATAAAAGCTCCTTGTCTTTCAGGAATCAGCTCGCTTTCAAGTGTACAGCACTCGATTACTGCAAGACACGATAAATAAAAACATTCTGTGTCAAAGGAGATGATCCACACGGGCCTTTCTTGTGAAATCCCCAAATTTGATTCCACCTAAGAAATCTGGGTATCTGGGAGACATGTTTTCAGCACAGCTGTAGGGGAGTGGGGGTGGAAATTTGTAATTGAGTCATGTTCTCCCTCTCAAATAAATGACATTGGTTTGTGCGGAAAAGGTGTTTGGAGAGAATTCAGGTCTTTTAAATCCCCATTGTAGAGGAGCTGCAGCTGCCACTGCTCTTGGACCCGAAAATGCACCAAGTTGCCACAAGATGTCAGCGGAGATCGCTGCCTAGYTAAAACCCTGCATTAAATGTTCCTTTGGCCTCGAGATGTCATTCCCAACCCTCGACTGAGAGCTAAGGGAGCCTCCCTGTAGAGGCAGGAGGCTTTCAGTTTGCGTTCTCACTTGGGAGAAACCTTCTGCTTCCCCAAGTGCACCTTTCCCCRGTAGTTCCCAGTCTTCCCTTGTCTGCACTGGAAAATCAAGTCCACCCAACTTCCATCCAGGTGGGCAGCATGGCATACCGTCATGGGCAGCAGAAAGACATGATGGTCACCTATCAGCTTCAAAACTCAACTGTAACTGTAACTCGTGACAATTTCAGTAGTTGGTGGTCTTTAAAAATGTTTATGATGGAAGCTTTTGATGGAAGGGCTGTGAAATGATCAATGCTGGGAGATGTTTCATGTACTTAGCCTGAAAGCTTGTCATTTCCATTCCATTCAGTCTTTTCTTTGTTTTCCAATCACCACCTTCCTTTTCCTTTTCATTGTTAACTGCCCTCCCCCAGTGCTCTTGTTTTTAAAGCCCGACATGGCTCAAACTCTGGTTTATCCCAAAGGCTCTGGACACTCTGTGACAGGATACATCTCTGAAGTCCAAACCCACCTTTTAATCCAGCACTCCAGAAAAGCAGGATGCTGGAGGCACTTAATGGGCTTTAGGCACAGACTGTGCCCTCTTGTGCTGTACTGAATCAGCTATTACCCTCCATGCTGTTGTTGGCACAACAATCCTCCCCAGAACATCGTCATGGTCCAAAGCCCATTGTACAAGCCATAAACAAAGGGACAGTCTGTGACAATATTTCCTCTCTGGCTATATTATTACAGGCTGTTCCCTTGCCCGATCTAAACAGCATTTTAAGCAGATACTTCCMAGTCAAAAGCCCATTAGATGGCACTCTTCACTTATAGTGTCAAATGCAAGTGATCTTTGCCAGTATAGGAAAACACGGGACAAGACTTAACTGAAGATACATGGTCACCTGTTGTTCCTGTCTATAGGACAGCTAAACAAAACAGAGGTCCTCCCTGCATAGTCCCAGGGTGAAAACTTTCAGCATCTCTGCACTGCTGAAGGGTCCTCACCTCAAGGTGGGGGAATGGCATCAGTGGAAGTCAGAGGAAACTCATGCAAGAAGACCCTGGACAAAGGGTGACACTCAGTTTTGTGCATCCCAAAAGGAAGTGATGAGAAGTCATGTGTTCCAGATCAGAGCTGATATTTTGCAGAGGAATTTTGGCCATTAAAACACAATGCAACCTCCTCTAAATACTGTATATCTTCATGACATCTGTGTTTGGTCACTCAAAAGTCAAAGCCCTGAAGTCAATCATTATGGCTTTGAGAAAATCTTTATAAAAGACACATGACAGGTATAATAGTTATCTACTCTTGAAAACTTAGGAAGAGAAATAAGAGAAAGTAGAATGTGAGGTACATATATTTAATACCTGGAAAAACTGTATGGTGCCATGAGTGACATCTGAACGTATATGATAAAACAGACCTCAGTGTCAGTTAACTCCRGTCACACAATAGAGCTGACAGGGAAACCACACTGAAGTTCTAGTTTCATGCATGGGAAATTCTGRCATTTTGTTTTACGTGAGGTGTTTGTGTTTTTTCTAGTATTTTTCTCTCAAAAGCTTTAAGAGAAGAGTCAGCTTAAGAACACATGGAAAGAAACAGATGCAAGAGTTGGTTTTGGATGAACAATGAAATGAGGACTTTAGATGGGGGGAAAGATGGTTAGAAAGATGATCAAAAAATATCTACATATCCTTCTGGAACAAAAGGACTTTTTTTTTTTTTTTTTTCCAAAAATAGCTCAGTTTTCACAAAAAGCATGTTTTGGTTGTAAAGCCCTGTCCATGCAGAAAATTTCACTAGGCTTCAAYGAACAAGAATTTTAAGGTTGGGTGACACCTTTTTGGGCAACTGGAATGGCATGAAAGACCACAAACCACAAAGGTTAAGAGAAACCATGAAACAAGTGGGGGAGGGGAAGGGGAAGAAAAAAAAACAAACGGTAAGTACAGAACAATTTTTTTCTTTAATSCACAGGGACTCACTAGGATCCAGCAAGTCACACAGTGCCATTTATCTGTGAACATTCATGAAGACGAGGTCTTTCCTAGAGCTACAATGAGACACCTTGAACAAATAACACATTGAACCCTAAGCTCCCACTGGCACAATGCACCGAATATTTCAAGAACGCACATCTGGCAACTTCTCTTGTATATAAGTTATATCATTTTAACCCTGTTTTATAACTGAGCCATCCACTGGCAACAGTATGTGCAAACCTCATCTGCGCCTGTGCAAGGGAGTCTGGTAGCAATGCAATAAGTTACATTACGGTGGCCATTTCAGTCAGAAAATAAACCTGCTCTCCAAAGCAAACTCGTTATAGCACTACAAAAGCAGCATTGAGAATATAGACCTGTTTATAGAGGGCAGGAATTGAATCAAATTGTGCTGACTTTTCCATGCAGAAAGCCATCGGGATCCAGGATTTAAATGCAAACAATCTCCTAGACAGTAAAACAGCATCTTGAGTTATTAAGGAGGAATATAGCTTTATAAAGCATGTAATGTACTACAGATCATTGAGGATATCAGACCTGACTGCAGTAGAAGTCACACTAACCTCCTGGAAGGTATAGGGATACTTTAAAAGCTGTTGCACACCACTAGAGCAAAAAGTTCAGCAGTAATTGAGAGACACTAGATCTAGTATCAATTTTCTTCTAATTAAATGGGGAAGGGCAGGTTCTGGGTAACACATCTTGTTCCCTCTTTTTCCCTACTCTCGGCCCGCATTTGGCAGACAGATGCAGGAATGGGCCAGAGCCCACTGCAGAGCAACGTGGCTGGAGACTYGCACTCAGATCGTCGTGCCGTAATGCGTCTGACAACATTACATTCTGATCCAGCTCTCCACATAACCTTCAATTTATTTCTAAGCCCCTGTGTTTATTTAACCGAATCTGCCTCCCATCATTGGGAGCAGGAGCACTCAACCTTTAAACAGCCCAAGAGCCACTTCAACATCCAACAGCCGCAAAGAGCTCCCGAGACAGAGTCACAAAAGAAACTAGTGTATTATACTTCGAAGGCTGAAACACATGAAACAACTTTGTTAGCCCTCATTGGGGCACCATCAAAACACCTCCGCAGCAGCCTGCACAGCTCTTCCTAGAGCTCGAGAAGGGGTGTTTCAAGGCTGGGGTCAGCATTGTTTCCCATCCTGGAGCATCTGGACACTCTTGCACAAGCATGCCAGCAAAACACAGCAAGACATGCCAGCCCATGAAGAGCGTGTGAGACTCAAGAGGCTCTGGGTGGATCCAGAGTTACAGCAGGAGCTGGACAGAGAAATGAAGGGCAGAGGTAGGGAGCGCTGGGGAGAAGTGAATGGAGTTAGTTATTCAACAATATTTTCTCCTTCCTTGATTTTTGCAAGTAAGATGGAGACGAGCATGTGATTTCTGCAGCTGGATGGCTTCATAGGGTTTGGGGCTTTGTTCACTGCAGCCTTGGACAAGTGACTCTTTGTGTTTTGGGACATTAACCCATCCTTTGCTCTGTTACAGCTCTGATCTTGAAGTGCATGCATAGAGGACTAGCGGCAACTGCTGGCTCCTGGCTCTGCTGTGCAGACACCAAACCATGGAGATGAACCACAACATCACTTTCTTCCTCCTTGACAGCAGTCCAGAGTGCTATTTCTTCAAGCATTTCTGTGCATCCTCACTCATATCCTTGCAAGTTATTCCTCCAGTAAAAATAGTCTCCTTTCCCTGACTCTTTCCATTGGCTACTTTATATTTCCTGGTTATAAGAATAACACAAGCCACAAGTCAGGCTTGGTCTGAGTAAAAGCCGCCCTCCTGGTGGGATGCCATGGCCAAGCTGCTTCAGACAGATACCAGTGCCTCATCATCTGAATCCGCCAGCAGGATTTAGTTCCACAGCCAAGATTCAGACCTGCAGTTTGTCCATGTTGTGCTCGAGTGTTCCCTCAAATGGTACAAGTCCAAGCCTTGGCATTTTGACAGGACCCATCAGGATTTAAGTAGTTTCCTGCTACACTTCCTAAGAACATAGAGCCATGAAGACCGGAGGATGCCCCTCACAAAAGGGCAACTTTCTATGAGGAGATATCCCCAGATGCCTTCCAAAGGATGTGGGGTGAATACTGCTGCTTTGGTCATCATGATCAATGCCTTCGTTCTYAGAGGCGAGAAAAGAAATGAGAAAACTTGGGCAAAGAGCTGTGACAAAGCTGTTCATCCCTGTCTGTGCACTTCCCCCCCTAGAGAACAACACACAAATGATTTCATATTGTTTTTTCATTGAATTCACTGTGGTTCTGTGTTGGCTTTGTGAGTTCATCATACACTCTTTAGAAACTTAATAGAAATTATATGGGAAAAAAAACCTTGGCTTGGTTTTCTGTTTACTGTTTCCAGGCAGAATGAAAACGTTTAAATGCTAAGTCACTTGACACTTGCAACCTCAGTTATGCACTTGCTTTACTTTTTTTTGTAGTTACAAGGGTTGGTGAATATATTTAAAGCTCTTCAATTCACTTAAGTTGAGAAAGAGATGCTGCATATTCAGTGAAATGCCACAGTTGTGACATGTTCCATATTCTCCACTGTGTTAAGTCTCTTCATTTATTCTTTTACAGACAGTCACAGAATTTATTCTGTTATGAATAAAAATTATGTCTGATGTCCTTCAGAAAATAATGTAGGGCTTTTGACTGAATACGGGAAGTTCAAGGAAAATATCCCAGGTGTTCAGGACATGAAGAACTAGTCATTGAACCTCATCCATTGAGCTGTCATCTACTTTTTCTGCTTGCATGTTGTACTCACTGCTCTAGACAGGCATCTTTTACCTTAATGAATAAAGATTAGCGTCTCGGAACCTCTTGTCTGGCAAATGTCAGTACCATGCACTAAGTGATGTAAGCTGCCATATCCTGTCAAAAATAATAATGATCTCTGCAGGCCACATTCTTCATGGTCCCACACAAGTTGCCCAGTGAAATCAATGAAGCTACATGGCCATATAATAGTGAAGAAACTGACTTGGCTTGCTGCTTTGCTTCAAAGAGCTGGATTTTTACACTATAACAAAATCATGGGTTGGTTTGTTTCTTTAAGCGAATCTAAAAGCCTAGCAGAGCCTTTCAGGTTTCCTGACRTTTCTGGGCAGAGGTGCAAGTCAGCCATACTGCACTTTCACCAGGTATACCTCTTACCTACRGTTTGAATCTAAGGCTACCCAAAAATAAGACTCACCAGAAAACAGTAGCAAGAAGGCCTTCCTAAGACTGTGGTAAATCGGGCAGCATATTGCATGACACCAATTACTATTATGTTTGTCAGGTCAACAAACATCCAGCAAACAATTAAAAATGGACTAACATAAACCCATTTCCTCAAAATGAAGGGAGATCACACTCCTTTATCAAGTATTCAACTGGAAAGGGCTGGCTTCCATGGGAGGGAGACAAAAGAAAAGTGCTCCCCCTTATAAAAGGATAATCAATCCCCCTAACAGAGTGGGGAAAGTGCTCCTTTCTCACACCATAGAGATCAAAACATGGACATGATTTTCTGCAGCCAACAGCAGTGGTCACACACCCACCCCACCATGTCCAATCCCAGGGCTCCTAAGCTGCAGGCCAAATAATCCTAAACGCAGATACTGGAAAAAATGGGAGGAAACTGATTTTGGGATAGCTGAAATTCAGCCAAAAGCCTTTCAAATGTGAAAAGATGTGAACTAAAAAAGTGCAGGACTTRTGTGTCTCTGTAAAGGTCAAGACAAGTATTGGAATCCTCCATTAAGGACATGCAGGATGAAACAGTACMCAGATATCTTTAAGCATGGACCAGCTTAAATCAAGAAAATATGGCACTTGTAAATGCATTTAAAATTTTATGGTCCTTCAAACTATTTGTAAACTTAACATGATAATATACTTCTGTCCTGAGTTAAAATAGCTCAGGTGAAGGCTGATTATTGTATTAATCTGAAATACATATACATAGACTCTTGCTGAACAACAGGATAAAAATGGGGATATAGATATGTTTTTCTGTCTCACAATACTTTTTTTTTTTTCCTTCTATTGTCAACATCATTGTTGATCCTGAAATTATAGTGTCTGAGAAGTTATTCAACAGGAGATGTTCAACATAAGAAGAGCTTCAGAAATAACAACAAGAACATTTAAATAGACCCAGAGATTATAGAGGGTAAAATACAAAAATGACTCCAAGCAGCTCATTTGGTTTCATTCCACTACATTTCAGTGTTATCTGCAAATGGGAGAAAGAAAAATCCCAAATTGGTTAGSTACTATTTTTAATAGAGAAGAGGAGGGGGAAAAAAAAAGCCTCTATCTTCTTCACAGCCTATTAATTACCCTTAGATTATAACACAGGTCAGGCATTCAGTATTCAGCTAAAYCACCAGTGAAAAGCTTTATCAGCTTACCTGTATCTCCACTCCATAGAAGAGCTTGGCTTATGCAGAAGACTAGAACAGAATTTCCCTTATATATCTCAGCAGGGTTCCTGTTTGTTTATTTTTGGTGAGTTTTGGGTGTTTTTTTTCTCCTTTTAAATGATTTTTTTTTTTTTTTTTTTTATTTTAAAGACCAGCTTGATGATTTTCTTAACAGGAGAATAGGCTATATACCTTCCCCTTCCCACACTTCCCAACAGCTCCAGTGAGTGTTGAATTTGATTCAGGTGCTCTAAGAGCTAAATGAATTTGATTCAGGTGCTCTAAAAACTCCATGGCCAATGTGGTTATGGTAAGCCCTAAAGATCAAGCTGGTTTTGTGAGGATGTCTTATATGCTTTTGACCAGAAGCCAGGCAGTAGGGGACAAAGGAGAGTCTCTTTTCATGGCCTCWTTTCCACTTGATGTCCTATTACAGGAGGGAACAGTTCATCCAGAATACCCCAAATGTCCCTGTTATCTCACCACTGCATGTAGTTTTGGCCTTATTGAGACCACCATGTCCTCTAGAAAAAGCCCTTGAAGCCTGGACCTGGCAACATCTTTCACCCAAAATACATCTCAGAGAGGCTGTTCTCTCCATGAGCCTCTGCTGCTTTTCTCCAAGCAACACCAAGGTAGCGAGCTGAGCAAGATTTATAAGACTGATTAGCATCTGCAGACACCCAGCATAAAGCATTTTAGAGATACTAAATTTTCTGAGGAAACCTAAATCAAAGGTGCCAATCTGGCTGATTTTCAGCAAACAGCAGTTTTCTACTCTCTGGTTCTGCTCTGCATCTTACTTGAATCAGATTTTTTGAGACTCAAGAATACCCTCCAATCTGCAGTGGGGAAAGGAATCAGACTCATGCTATTTGCGTGAATAATATTTTGCGATAAGTAAATCTTTTGGGTTTACTTCCAATTATTTTTTTTTTAACTTCAAGCTTTTATCTTAAAGAGAATCAACGTTTCCCTGTCTTTGAAGAGCAGAACCCTCCTGATATTCATTACTTGACTCAGCTGTTCACTCAGGTCTCTTCCTTTGATGAAAAACTTCAGTTTACAGACAGCATTTGGCATCCTGATTAGCACATAATGTGACCTACTATTGGAATAAATGGGGTATGTAATGCTATCTCATAAGCAAAAGAGTTTTGACTTAGTTGTACTAAGAAGAAAGCGGGAAAAAAACCTACCCTGAAGCATTTTTATCTAAAAAATATACTTATTTGGAGGAAAAAAAAAAAAGTGGGCACTTTCTCCTTACCATCTTGCTTTAGATAAAAGAAGGCTCACATCACAGCGCATAGTCTGGACAAAGCCAACCAATTTATTATCTTATTTCCATCATGCTTGAGAATTATACGCCTAAGTCTTGGGAAAATCAATAGGGACATCTCTACTACAAGAAAACTCAAAGTTACACCAAGAGGAATACTGATCTAAGTCTTTACTACTATTGTAGCAAAATATATGGTCAGCAATGGCCACAGTAATGTTATTAGTGTCAATGAATACATAAACAATAAGCACACAATGGCTTGAGTTCAAGTATCTAGAAGAAGCATTGCAAGTTCTTCCAACAATCAGCGATCCCAGCAGCTTCACATTTCTAGCTTGCAATTCCACCCTAGATCTGATTCTGCGAACTGGGCAGCAACAGCCATGATGTCTCATGATACAATCCAACCAAACCTGCACTGGGARCTCTGGTGTTTGGTCATTCATGCTCTAGCAGGGAAACAGGGTCATCATGAACCGACCTTGCTGATGAGTTCCCCAGCGGTGCTTCATATCCACAAGTCTGAAACTGAAAAAAAAAAATAAATAAAAGGAGATATTTATCTATAAAGATCAATAGCAACAAATACCTCTCACATACGTGCCACCTACCTGCACAGACAAAACTCATGCCTAACTTCACCAGCATAACTCCTGGGACATCTTGATTGAAAGAAGCAGGGAACACCAGAGACAGCCTACTAGCTACATAAGCCACATCACAGTTCACAGTAATAGGAAAGTTTATGAGAGAGCAGGATAAACAGTCAGACACACCATTAGCAAGCCATATCTTTACCTTGCTTTCCATTACCTGCTTTTCATTATCATTATTTCTCATCTCTCTAAGGAAAAGAGTAGCYTAGGCAACTAAAATTAAGATAATCAGGTACCTAAAGTTAAGTTAATCCCTACCCACCCCATGTAGGGTTTAAATAGCTCTCAAGAGGGCCCTTGATGAATGAAACCTGCTGAACTTTGTGCTCATGGCAAGTCCCTTAGATAGTCTTCACATRGAGGTCCTCATCTTTGCCAAATCCCATTGGTGGTATTATAAATCCCAGACCCTTCTGTTTACATACTTCCTTCTGTRTGCAGATCATGCTCTCCATAACATCCCACACCCTCCACAAATGATCTTTCTTTCCAACCAGTTGATGCACAGTTTTGTTTTAGGTTTTCTCAGTGGAAGCAATAGCTATTCTTCTCTTCCTCCTCACTACAGTTTTGCTTCTGCCCATTTCTCTGTCTCCAGTGAAGCAAATCTATCCATCAAAGGCAATTTCTTCTTCCCCTTGCAGAACCCCACAGTGATTCACTGCTAAGGTGAATTACCCAATCAGCTACCAGACAGGTCCAGAGGAGAAGGATATGCAGAAGTCTTATACTTTGCCCCTGAGGCTGCTTAGTATTTGCAAACCCCAACTTTTCCATATCTGTGTTTTCCCTCCCTCTTTCTCTGGACATCCCTGCTGCCTCCTTTTGCATTGCCGAACTCTGAAACTTCTCTTCCATGATTTCTACCAAGCAGAATTTTCTACATAARCACCTTCAACTGAGTACCCAGTGGGTACCCGGGACAGACATACACTCTTTTCATCACCAGATTTATATCCAGTTTCCAAGGAAACTAAAGGAAACAGGCTGCAAACCTACAAAAYCTACAAAAACAACTTCAAATGATGTTTTTTGTATTGTCTTTAATATTGTGATTTTGCATGTGTCACAGGCAGGTCCTTGAAGTATATTGATCCTGTAACCTGCTGCTTTGGCTGTTGTTTCTCCATTRCATGAAAGTGAACTGAGCAGTAGAAGTGACTGTAACGCTTGGTAATTACTGCTTCCACTGTTACTAGGATTTTGTTTAGAAGGGAAAATAATTCTTCACCAGCCTGAATAACATCGTCATTGATGGTGGGCAAGTACATCTGGAAAGCATGTGAGAAAACAGATGAAAAAAATGTATTAAGCAGAAATTTTTGTGAACTTCCAGAATTTCATGGGGCTGCAGTATAGCTGCATCTTTTTGCCACGAAATTGTGCTTCCACCCGGTTTATAGKGGATAATACTGGATGACATCCTCTCCTGGGACACATCATTGAGAAGTCACTGAAATGGATGATGTTGGTCTTACCAGCTAAAGAATCCAGCTGAGCTGGCCACTCCTGCAACCTCTATTTTAATGACAGCAATAAACACAACCCATGTGAAAAAAAAAAATAGACGTATCACTCAACAGATCTTTACAGCTTAGGGAGAAATCAGGAGGACTGACTTTACTGGAGATGTTGGTTGAGGTGACTAAAAAGGCATCTTCTCTCATACATTCAACAGGATCATTGGCAGAAATACTGCCCGGCTGCAAATATAAGCCCAAATACCACATTCCAAGATCCCAGCCATGCTTCCCAATATCCCTGCTGAAGTTTGACAGCAGCAACATCCCTACCAAACAAACTTACTGATCCTTACTGACATGCGTGCCGCAGTTGTTCCCTTCATCCTCTCCTGCCAACATACTGTGTTGGTGTCTTGGCGTCTGGATGAATGATTGATTGATATGACACCTGCGATACGCTGCGTTATGCTCCTTATCTGCGGCTTCCTGGTGGGCTCATATGCTGCTGGCAAGGTTTAGGACATCCATATCACTTCCTTTCTATTATTTTGTTTTCTGTTTGTTTGTTTGTTTTGTTTTTGTTTGGAACTGTTGTTTTTGTTTTGAACTGGAGGGGATTTATACACACTTACCAATCTGTCCCAACTGGTCAGACTATGCTGGAAAGACTCCTCTATTCCCACTGTCCAAGGGAAAAAAAATAGTGGTGAGGATTAGCAGACTGATCCCTGTTTTCATGGCAGGTCCACTGAAAGATAAATCCTCCTCAAAAATCTTCCAGAGGTATTCTTATTCAAATATTATGATGACAAGTGTCATAAGGAAAAAAAAAAAGAAATGGGTGCTCATAGAAAGACCAAGATAAGCTATAGAGAAAGGACTGCAAGCAGAAAAGGWTTTATTTAGAAGAGAGAAGAAAGTCAGTGACAGTGGGAGGAAGCATTATCTATTTAACTATGAGGCCCRAGCCTCATGAAAAGGTCTGTGACTGCACCATGGACCTTCACTTRGAAAGTCTGGAAATTATTGCTTTGTGTGACCATATTCCCAAGGTTTATTTGTCTGGTGGAAATTTTCTTTGCAGTGCTCCACATGCTCTGTATTTTTGTATGCTGTAGTACAGGTCTAGCCTTGTACTTATTCCCTTTTGTATCCATCCTCTGCTTTGTTCCTCTTTCATGCTGGAGATAAACTCCATTAACCTCTTTGAAGATCTTCAGTACTGACTTTAAATTCACATTGTGTGGTATGGTCTTCCCCAAGGCCATTGCTTTACATTGCCTTTAAACCCACCATGTCAGCAGCTTCTCCATCACTGCATGCAGGAGATAACAGTTAGCATTGGATCAGGAGGACCAAGCAGATTGAGACCTCTTGTTCTTGAGAACCCTGACAGTGGTCTGTGCAACTCCAGAAATAAAAGTGTGGCTTGACAGAGTCCAAGTTACCAGCTAGCCAACATAGGAGCCTTTTCTACCTTTCTTCCACCTGAAGAGCTGAAGAGGACTTCCTTGAAGGATATAATACAATACAATACAATACAATACAATACAATATAATATAATATAATATAATATAATAGTCCTTCTCTGGACTTAGCACTTTAGTTCTGCAGTCATGGGAGTAGCCCAAGGTGTCCTAGTGCTACTGGAGCTCTGGACTGCTTAGCCTCAGCTGTTAGAGGACCTGAGAGGCAAAGCCATAGACCTGGGGCCCATGCAAGAGTAACTAGCAAGGGCCCAAATCTTAGGACTGGAAGAGTCCTTTGCAACAGTCGGGCAAGTCACAGAGTCCCCAGACTTTGTGCCCAACTGCCCAGGCAGTAGCACACGCAGAGCTCCACCAGCAACCTCCACTCTGCCTCAGCTTCTGCTTAGGTCTGTGCAAGGTCCAGCTGCTGCTCCCCAACATATGAGTCTGCCTTGCCCCCACTTAAAAAAAAAAAAAAAGGAAATGCAGAATCAAGGATCGATACATACTTCCAAACCAAGTCTGGCCAAAAGGAGCATCTTTCATCTATCTACCTCATCATCAGCTTCATCTTTCTCCCCGCTGCTTCTAACCAGAAGAAACATTATATAAACAACCAGACAGGAGGTGGAGTGCAAATCCAGTCTTCAGGAGTCAGGTTTTATGCTGCCAGATTGCTGTGTGTGCTTAAATCAGCAGTGACAACCTGCGGCCATCTGTCAACCACAGGTGTGTACACTCCATGGATATGCCAGAAGAGATAGTCTTCCCCTGACTCCTCAAATATACTGGTCGTCTGACTCAAAGTGCTGGGCAGTTGTTTTTAAAGCAGCATGCAAATGTGCTTCCTCAAGTCAGCAAGAGCCATGCCAAGCTGGTGACAGAGAGGAGTTTTCCCCTTTTTCAATGGAAGTAAGAAAGAAGAACAAGCAAAAGCTTGTCAACCCAGCATACAGGTGCCTTGTGGCCTCCCAGATCCAGGTCCCATGTATGCTGATGCCTGCTGAAAGGTCTTGTAAAGTGAATATTCATTACTCTCCTCTCCTCCTACACTTCAAAACCACTGAAGGTTTGTTTTAAGAAATCATTTGTACCTTCTTTGCTTCCACGGGGGTGTTTTATTCCTCTTCACATCCCAAGTTACCTGCGTTGTCTTATTTTCCGCCCCTATCACTTCCAAATACTCCACAACCAAACTACCAACATTTTCTGTTCCGAAACTGGCCTCTCCAGCTGAAGAAGAGCCTGCATCTCGTCTCCTCCACTTTGTGGACCAAGGCTCTGCTCTTGCCAGAGCAACTGGGAATAAATAAATAAATATATATTTTTAAAAAAAAATGTATTTTTTCATCGTGTCATGGTCTCATGTTCAAAGAGAGGAAAGACTCAACCACTTCTGATCATCTCATCTTCATCAGACTTGCAGCTGGCCTGTCTTCTTGGGACATATCACCACAAATAGACAAGCAGGTGATAAGGAGTCAGTCACTCTTGACAGAAGTCAAAGAGATCCCTAGGACAGGAGTGTCCCGCAAAAGCCACTGCCCTGGGGACGGTCCACAAGGACCCTGGGATARTGCAGTCTAAACCACATTGTGGTGACCAGGGTGGCCAAAATACAGCTCTTGGTTGCCTAGAGCACTGAAGTGAGGTTCCCCAGGAGACAGCTCTGCAATGTGCTCTCCAGCCTTCTTCAGTTYGCCCCAGCTCCTGGCCTCGGAGGTGGACTCCTCTGTCCAAGAGCACCTCATGTGTGCTCAAGGCTCAAGCCCTCCCTTCCACAGCTCCATCTGCTACTAAAACCCACAGTCCCTCTCAGATTTCACCCAGGCTGTTGTTTGCTCGCACCTGGTCTCCTCTGGAGTTCAGAGGAACTGTACCTGCTCTTGGCTGAAGCACAATGTGTCATAACACCAAATGCCAGATAAACACCTCAATTTTGTTCTTGTCTTCTACCAGGGAGGGGGCAGTTGGCCTCTTTTTAAATTCCTTCACATTTATGAGAAGGAGTAGGTCTGGGAGTATGCAGTGTGGAAATATATTCCTTCGGTCAGAGAAAATCTCATTTTTACTTTATCCTACTCTGTCAACAGCCCCTGAGCATCACAAGTCCAGGGCTATCACTTAAGGTTGCTCCTTAAAATGAAAGGAAAATTCCTTACAGGATKTAGGCACCTCCTAAAAATGTTTGGATTCACTTCCCTGCTCTGCCCAGCTTGTGTAGCTGTTGCTGGATCTAGGTCAAGTCTAATCAGAGGGCACCTACAGGTGCAGACTGTYCCTTGCAGTC